CTGCTCTAAACACTGAAAAATATACAGTGATTGGAACAAAATGTTTGAAACTGCCACATGACTAACCATTGCTGTAATGAAATGTCCCTTATGAAGTTATGCATGATGGATTTTGTGCTACACAATGGTGCAGCCTCAGTTACCAAACAAAAATTCACATTTTACATATCTTTTAAACTCCATCTGTTCTCTCTCTCAGAACTAGGCAGCTTTCATTTTGCACGCACAGAGTCCACAGTCAGAACTATATATTTAATGCATATAATTTTTCAGCACGGGTTCCTAATGATTTTTTACATAACTATGCATCAAGTTTACATATTTTATTAAGCAATTATATATACACATATATAGTTATTTACTGAAATCATGACACTATTGATCATCAGCCCACAAATTACTTGTAGGAAAAGGCAGATTCACATAATAAAGTTTGCATGAAAAGAACCTTATCATTGTGAAACAATCCCACAACTACCAGACAATTCCAGAATGTAGGTGCAAAGAAGAGCCTGGCTTAAATTTACCCAGTGGAAGCTGGTTTTGTAAAGTAACAGGAATTTCATTTATAATTGTGAAGTTCCTGTCTTCTGCTGTGTGGGTTTGTTTCACAACATGAACTCCTCTGTTCTTCAGAAGTTTCTACGACTTGTTACGGTATTGCAAATCAATTTTTCCTTATGATAAATTTTAACAAACAAACAAAAGATCACATCCCAATCCATAACAAACAGTGGTAATAAGACACAATATCAGCTTTTACTTACATGTTAATTTTGTGTGAGATCCAGACCAAAGCAAGGAGATTGTCAAAATTAAAGCTGAGTGTGAGATCACTCTGTTTGCTTAGGTTTTACAAACACATTTAGGGTCTAATTCATAACCAAGTGAAGTCAACAGGAGTCTTTCCATCAACTCAAACAGATTTTGGATCAGGCCCAAATATGCTTCACAGACAGCATTCATTTTGCATCTTTTTATCCAGTGATTACCTTGAACCTGATGCCTTCCCTTTCTGTTGTAAGTTTCTGTGTTTGTCGGATCAAAGATAGCTTATGGCCAGCCACAGCACAGGTGCCCAACCAAGGGGAGAGCATAAGAAGGCATTCCCCCTCATCCCAACCTTCTTAATTAGAGACTATTCACAGCTGCCATCTTTGTGCTTCTCCCGAGAGCGAGCACAGAAATGTTCAACACTTAATGTCTATGTGCTGTTTGCTTTAAAAACTGAAACAAAGTTTGCCGCATCTGGGGGCTGAATTTCTCTCCTCAGTCTCAACCACTGATGCACTGGCTGTGCAAGGGCAGAAAGATCCCCACAATACTGGTGCCAAAATTATAGTCAATAAGTGAGTGAGGATCTGCCACCCAACAATAATGCCAGCACATATGGCAGTTATCACGGGAGCCTCACCTGTATATACACAGTCAGGGAGCATCTACACTTGGAAGACATATGAGCCTTTCTGTAGAGGTGCACTCCTTTAAGAAGGTAGCCACCTACCTTCTTAAAGGACATAGCTCTAAGAAATTCCGCAGTGGTTCTATACTAGAACCCTTACCATTGGCAGAACTATTGGAGCTGAACCACTGAAGAAATATTTTCCTAGTGTAAACAAGGCCGGACTGTAATTCTAACACAGCATAGTGGAATCTCAGGGACAAATTCACTTCTGGAGAAACTTCATTGACTTGAATGGAATTACCAGTGATATATTTAATCCACAGTATTTACAAGAATATAGATATGCTGACATAAAGCCCTTGACTAAGAGCTTCACATAGAAATAGTAATAGAAAAATTAAGGGAATTAATACATTTCTTATTTTAGAGTTTCTTTTATATAAGCCTATTTCTAACAGAAGGCTGCTAGTACTAGGATCCCTATTACATTGAACCCTTGCTCTTGTTAAAAGACCACCACTGAGATATTTGTGGCCAGCCACCAAAATAATAATGTAACAGTTTGTTAATTACAGCAGTTGCTGCAGCTCTCATTACAGTAGTGGTTGCAAAACAGTTTCCATAATAATAATAGCTAGGTATTTTTTTAAAGGAAAGTGAGTATGTAGTCTGTGAGAGCAAGGGACTAAGAATCTGGGCTACAACTGACTACAGTGCTGGTTGTCTGCCCGTAAGCATCTTCTGAAGATGTGCAAATGCACTTCAGTCCTGACCTGCAACAGCCTCCTGCTTTTCCAGTCCTCAGGCTCTCCTTAGTGGGAACTGCCAATCATGATAAATTGTAACAGACTGCATAGTGATTTTGTGCTGTGCATGAATAGAAGAGACCATCAAACACATTTTCACTTGGGACCTAAGCCAGAATTTGAACTCAACTCTTCGGAGGTGCAAAGTCATGCATGAATTAACTCTACTCATAGCACAACCCACAGATTTCCTTGACAATAGATTGGCCTCAGAATACCTGTTACAGCACAAAAGTCCAAAGGGAATTGCTTCTGCCTCATTATAGTTCTGTTTTACATCCCAATCTCTGAAACGCACACATGCACATGTGTAAAACAACAGGTCCACTTTCCAGTGGAAATCACACTGGGCAGCCAACTTTCACTGAAACACAAATCATCTCGGTCCTAACTCATTTTAATCCAGTTGGTCGTCCACTTTAAGGAAGTATAAAGAGACAGTAAAGCAAAAAGAGTGGCTGCCAAGTCAGGGATAGGGGACAAAATAAAGCCACTAAAATTAGATGAAATGTGAACTAATTATTTATTTATTACAAATGCTGGTGGGGATTACAGCATTCTTGACAGGGGAAGATAGATGAAGTTAATTTACTAGTCTATGCCATGAATGATTTCCATAGTTTTGGGAGAGGTGGGGTAGCTGGACTGGATTTCATGGACACAGGACTTTACAGAAGAGACTTGAAATGCTTCACTAATGCTTCACTCTTCACTAATTAATACACACATTTCAATGTCTTTGTAAGCAGACAAGTGCTAAGAGCTGTAGTTTTTTTTTTTTTATAGATGCAGAATAATCTCTGGTACATGCTGAGAAGAAGGAAATGGAGAACAACATGCTGCAGATTCAGAAGGCTTTCCCAGTCATGGAGGTATTCTTTTAAATATTCTGTAAGCAAAGTTTGACCAGAGCAGCAGGCAATGCAGTACAGTTCGGAGTATTATCTCCAAGTATGTTACAGAGGAATAAAATCATAACAAGTGATGAGGATAGTTTTAGTGACACACAGTGTATTCTCATGTCTCTTATTAATACACAATAGAATGTATATGAGCTTTGAACGTTTTCTTAATAGACTCTGTGCATGATTTCACCATTGCTTTGCACCTAATTTAGACCTATAAGAAGTGGGTGCAAAACTCCCACCAGTGTGAGTGGAGCATAATCATTTGGTAGCATTTGACACTTATTTTGTACAAAAGCAAATGGCTACACAAGTGGGAAGGAAGGGGTGAATCAGACCCTCTGTGTTTAAAATATTTTTTATAGCGTGAATAATAGCTCTTAAAGAACTGTTTATAGTTGATGGGAATTTTCCAACATACCTTTTGTTAAGATACAATATCCTTTTTTCACCTCTTTCCCTATTCTTTATAACTAACAGTATCTGTTCTATCAATTTAATATCTGTTATGTGCTGTATCTGGGGACAATATCCTGCCCAGGCAAGTTAATGGTGAAGGAGTTATGATAGATCTTTTCCATCTCTAAATTCCTTTTATTTCATTTACATGAAAACATCTTGGTTTCTGAATAGTTTATTTCCTCCTGCAGTTTGTTCCCTGCCTGAATTCACAGTCCTATCTGTGATGTCACACTTAGCTACTGCAGAAGTTATGGTCATGTCACAAACACAGGTTATAATTAGAGATGAGCAAATCTCAAAAGGTTTGTTTCAAATCAACATTCCTAGGACCTGGTTTACATTACATTTATATTTACATCATTTACATTGAGGCCTCTTTACACCACTCTGGAATTACATTTACAGTCACTTTAAGGCCCTTTATGATACCAGATTGGTGTAAAGAGGCATTAAAGTAAATAAAACCCACTTTGTTTTTTGCCACCAATGTGCTCAAAGGGGAATCAGCCCTCACAGATCCAGGCTTGGTGGTGCTCAAAATATAAGTATCATCTCTGCAGAATGCTTTCCCCACCTATCTAAAGGCAAGACTACACTACAAAATGAAGTTGACCTTAGTTAGTCAACTTAATTACTGAGGTTTTTCATGTCCATACTATTCCCCACCTCCCTCCTGCCGTTGGTGGTGTGCGTCCTCAGCTGGAGCCCTGCTGCTGGGGGTTGACAGCCCAAGTTGTGAGCCCTGCATGGGGCTCACAGCTGGAGCCATTACCACCACCACCCAGCCTTGGGGCTGATAGCTAACAGGCAATGTAAGTAATGCAGTGTCTACATTGACCCTTTGTTGCCCTACCTATATCAACTTAAGTGCTATGCCTTTTGTGGAGGTGGAATTATTAAGTCAATGTAGTGGGTGACTTACATCAGTGGGAGCTACATTTTAGTGTTGATGCTCACAGAGTTAGGTCAACATAAGCGTAACATCAACGTAACTCTGTCAACGTAACTCTGCAGTGTAGACCAGGCCTAAGTCTTCTCAGAATACTGACTCCATAGATTTCATCCGGATTCTACCCCTTTACCTGATACCCTAGAAAGATGTACAGGGGAAGGCCAGCATAAATTATTACTACAGACAGCTATTTTCCTCCTATGTGCTGAGACACACACACACACACACACACACACACTCTCACATGTGTTGAGTAGCCGGGATAGCTACAGTTGAAGGAGGCCCTGACTGTTGCTGTCCAGAAGAGGTAAGAAGCATGGTTAAATGTTGAGGTAATGGGGATTCCATGTTTTGTGGGTGCCTGGGGTGGTGGTGTCAAACCCTCCTTTCCCCTCATAATAGAAAAATCAGAACCAGAATGCATTGAGCTCTAAGTTAATTTTGAAAGAGTTTCTTAATAGAGTACCTTTCTGAGCCAGCAGCAGCTCTTTACCAATAAGACATTTAATTACAGCTTCCTCAGCCTTGAAACATGGTGACTGAAGCTCATTAGCTTCTAGAATCTTTCATATTGTTCTGGGGCAAGTGAGCTGAGCCAGGATTGGACTGGTCACTTAATAACTGACACAGAAGGAAGACAGGAGGGAAGGGGAGCATGGGCCACACTTGAAAATGATTTCCCTTCCTTGAGATAAGGACAATGATCTGAGACCTCAAACTGCTTTTTAAGTGCATTGCTTTTTAACAAAACCATACAAGAGCTTGAGAAAAAGCATGGAACTAAGAAGGGAGTGGAGCACTGATATTGCTCTTAAACATGGTCTACTTAGAGAGCTTTAACAAAAATAAGAAACCTTCTCCACCAGGTACTGTACGTTTTCCCAAATACTCTCAACTCTATAGTTTATCTTCTAAAAGTGTTTCTTTCTGGTATAGTAACTGTGGCTGAGATCTGGCAATGAACAAAGACCATTATCTGAATCTTAACCCCACAGAATGAAGTCTTATCATGAAGCCTGCATATACTGTAACTGAAGGTGGTGTTCACGCAATAGTTGCTAATTCCTGAACAGAGTGAAATCTGAGTGAAAAGTGTAATTTCATGATCTAGATTGTGGAGAAATAATATACTTGTCCTAACACACGAGCTAGAACAGGAAACCAACCACTGGAGAGAGCTCAGATGCTGCTTCAGCATCTTCTTTTTACCCTTGGCTTATCTCGTGTTGGGTCACTGTAGGAATGGTGGCTTTCCGTGGATCAGAGCAGTTTTGGAAGGTCTTCTGCACTCAGTTGATCTGTGGTTTCTCCTGAGATACTGGCTAAGGCAACGCCCTGGTACAGTCTGTCTGGTTGGCTACTGTAGTCCTTATCCTGGCTGTGGCTACTATTCTTAGGGAACCTGAAGTCAGAGCTGTATTCAGAAGGCTGTTCCATTTCCTGGACGTTGCTGTATGTTATTATAATGCTGGGTATCTGGGCTGCAGACGGTCTAGAGTGAGAGTCTCCTTTTCGTAGTCCAGTGCCATTCAGGCCCTCACCTGTCTTAAGCATGCAAGGATTTAAGAGAAATGTAAAACACAGTTGTCTGCAAGATGATCAGATTGCAACAGTCCACTAAAGGGGAAAGTGACAAACATTTGGACAAGCATTCTGACAATCACCACTGCTAAACCAAAGCGAATCTTATAGGAATGGGAAAGAATTTGACCTAGAAACTTTTTTGATGTATCCCAGGAGTCACTTCTGAGAAATATCTTACTAAACAAACTAATATACCAAAGCACAGCGCTTACATTCCTTAACACTTTGATACTTCAGGCACACTCCCCAGTACTCTGATGAAGGTTCGGGTTAATAATAGCACATGCCTCTGTGAACAATAGTGCAAGGAAGCCAGTGTAAGGATCTGGTAAAGCTAGAAGTACACATGAATTCCAGAAAATAGATGGTTACTTCCCTCCAAAAATCTAATCAAATCAGATGGCAATTGATGAGGCATTATCAGGGTTAGAGATGATAAAAGATAGACCAAAGTGAACCACAGCATGGAGGCCTTGAAATGAGACACCAAATAGTGAAGTAAACAGTGAAGTAAGAGAGGAAACAGTGGAAAGGTGAATAGAATTAATTCAGCAATGGAAAATACTGGATGATACTAGTGAAGGACCAAGAAAAGGAGTGTGTTGGAATGATATCTTCATAAAGCTGTAGAGAGAATAGTAAAGCTTACTACTAACTATGAAAAGACCTATTTCAGGCACGTGTGTTAGCATTCACAGTGCAGTCTAAAGATAACACAGATTCACACTCAAATGCTGATTTCTGCCAATAATTCTTCTCTCTTTTTTTTTTTCCATCTAGCTGGATTTAGGGCAGATGGATTAGAGTTAATCCACTCATGGGATGTGTTTAAAAATTATCGCTGTGCCACAGCATTGTCATCAGATAAGAATACGTTAGTATGGGATTGCTCAAAAGGGTGGTGCTCTTCCAAATTATAAAAGTATATAAAAAAATCACACACAACCCCCCCCCCCCGCCCCAAAAAACACTTACTTGGATTTCCTCAAGGCTATAGGTTATAGATGGCAGGGCCTACACAAAGAATAACAAAAGTTTAACAGCTTTCTTTTCGACAGCAATATTCAGTGACTGTGGAATATTGACTTTTTGTAGGAAGAAACACCTTACTCCAAAGCAAATCCTCTACAAAACAAAAGTCAGGAAATATTTTTTTCTTTCTTAATGGGGGTTGGAAAGGAAGTGTCTGTTATTAAAGAAAAAGACACAACAGGACTACTATGCCCTTATCTTAAATGCATGAAAGTAAATAAACCTCTTGCATACCGTTTCCTTTCTCCAGCATGATCCATCTTGGATAGGAAAAAAGATAAGCACCTGATGTTTCAAAACTGCCCTTGCAAAACCTGTCATGTTTCAAAACTGCCCTTGCAAAACCTGTCATGTCATATGTTACAATTATGACCCCAAATACAGCATTAACTGTTGTAGGATATGATTTTTTTTCAATTTTTGCTTAAATAATCTAAGAGGCAAGCAAAGATATATTTTCTATAACATTTTCTAGAATTTTTATGAGTTGAGGATCCTCCTTGTGTTTTCCTTTGCACTCTTGCTGACACTTTATGGCTCGGACAGCAGTAAGGGCACAGTCAAGTTTTAGAGTCATGATTTCCACTTAAAAGTTCATCAGGAGAACTCTTTTCTTCCTCATTCATCTTACTTGTTTCAAGATACAATTAAGGCTTATATAGTATACTTTATCTTCAATTGATAGTCCAACAGCAATCCTGTTTAACATTTAATTAACAAACTATTTTACAATTAGCTTAGTTGTTTAGTATTTTAGATTAAATTATTTGGAGCAGGAACCTCTCATCTTGCTACAATATGTGTTCATACTGAACCTAGCACAAAGGGCTTCTAAGCACTAGTGAGGAGCCCAGTGGGGTCCATTACTTCTACTATATACCCCTGACTAAATTGGGGGGGCACCCTGTGGGTGCTGGGGTGTGGCCCAGGGGTACCACAGGTGCTGGGGGGGCAGTGGCGCGCAGCCTGGCCAGGACCCCCACTGGTGCTGGGGGTGGTGGGCAGCAGTGCACGGCCCAGGTTCCTGCTGGTGCTGGGGTGGGCAGGGCTGGCAGGCTCCCTACCTGGCTCCGCTCCTCCCTGGGAGTGGGGACATCCCCCTCACTCAGCTCCTAGGCAGCTCTGCGCGCTATCTCCGCCCAGAGCACCGGCTTCACAGGTCGCGCTGGCCAGTAATCGCGGCCAGTGGGAGCTGCAGAGGCGGTGCCTGCAGGTGGAGGCAGCGTGCGGAGCTGCCTGGCCATGCCTCCGCCTAGGAGCTGAGCAAGGGGGATGTTGCTGCTTCCAGGGAGCCCTCTGAGGTAAGTGCAGCACAGATTCCGCCTCACCCTGTCCCAGGCCCTAACCCCCTTCTCCCTCCCACACCCAAACTCCTGCTGTTGCTGGGGGAAGGGAGAGCAGTGACCCGAGACTGTTCCAGCATTGGTTGGTGCGACTGCTGCAGGGGCTACCTGAGCTGCCCCCAGGCCAGGCACACCAGCCACTGCAGATGTCACGGAAAGTCATGGAATCTGTGACCGCCGTGACAAACTCACATCCTTACTTATGATCATATCTTGCACAGTCAACAGTGGGTGGCAGAGCTTAGTCTATGTTCAGAGATTAGAAAAAAATCACTGCTTTCTTTCCTCAATTCAACTCCTGACAAATACTAAAATAATACTTACAACAGGAGAGGAACTGCACTCTCTGACATTCAGCTCCACCATGGAAATGTCATCGGCATCTTCAGAAGTCTAAAAGATAAATGAGAAAAAAAGCCCATACATGACACACAGGCATGTCACAATATTCTACACCAAGTGGCATGTGAAATAGAAGAAGGGGGAATGGCGGGGGAGGAAACCGGAGGATTGAAACATAGTGAACTGCAAAGAACAGTGTTATTTTGTATTTCTAGCCACCATCTCAGTTAATTAGTTACAGTATATGACTACAGAGCATAAAAAAGTGTGTTCATGATAAGTAATTTAGACACTGCAGAACACATGATGAATAAGCAACAAATGACAGTTTAAAAACAAAAATACAAGACGTTCAGAAGCAAAGAACAAACATCCTGTCTCCTTTGCCCCTTGCAAATGTAACAAAGACAACTGGAAAATGAACCAGTGCTGAAAATAGAAAGCTGAGGACCTTTTACAACCTCAAGGTCATTACTCATCACATTCATATCACTGCAAGCTGTAAAGTGTTTTAACCACATAAAGTTAACCCTCAGGGTTATTTTCCCCCACTATGTAGGAACCCTCATTACTGAAATCAAGATGATATTCAATAAAGATAAGTGCAAAGTACTATACTTAGAAAGGAAAAAATCGAATGCACAACTACAAACTGAGGAATAACTTTCTAGGTTGCAGTAGTGCTGAAAAGAACGGGGGGTTATAGTGAATCACAAATGGAATATGAGTCAACAATGTGATGCAGTTGCAAAAAAGGCTATCATCATTCTGGGGTATATTACAGGAGTGTCATAGGCAAGACACAGGAGGTAATTGTCCTGCTCTACTCGGCAATGGTCAGGCCTCAGCTGGAGTATTGTGTCCATTTCTGGGTGCCACATTGCAGGAACGATCTGGCCAAACTGGAGAGTCCAGAGGAGAGCAACAAAAATGATAAAAGGTTTAGAAAACTTCCCCTATGAAGAAAGGTTAAAAAATCTGGGCATGTTTAATCTTGAGAAAAGAATGAGGGGAGACCTAATAATAATCTTCAAATATGTTAAGGTCTGTTATAAAGAGGATGGAGATCAATTGTTTTTCATGTCCACTAAAGGTAGGACAGGAAGTAAGGGACTTTATCTTCAGCAAGGGAGGTTTAGGTTAAATATTAGGAAAAACTAACTATAAGAATAATTAAGATCTGGAATAGGCTTCCAAGCAGAGGTGCCAACTTTGTGATTTCCCCGGGGGTGCTGGACTTCCACTCAGCCCCAGGCCTCGCCCCCACTCTACACCTTCCCCCAAGCTCCCACCCACACGCCGCCTCTTACTGCACCCATTCTGCTTTCCCTCTTCCCACCCCATTCTACCCCTTTCCCCCTCTTCCTGCCCCTGCTCCTTCCCCTCTCCCCCAACGCCTCTTGTACACCCCTGAACAGCTGATCGCAGCAGGTGGAAGGCGCTGGGAGGGAGGAGGAGGAGCTGATCCGTGGGGCTGCTGGTGGGTGCTGAGCACCCACTATTTTTTTTCCTGTGGGTGCTCCATCCCTGGAGCATCCCACGGTGTTAGTACCTATGCTTCCAAGGGAAGTTGTGGCATCTCCATCATTGGACGTTTAAGAACAGGTTAGACAAATACTTGTGAGGGATGGTCCAGGTTTACCAGGTCCTGCCTCAGTGCAGGGGGCTGGACTTGATCATTTCTTGAGGTTCCTTCCAGCCCTACCTTTCTATGACTCTATTCTAATTATGAAAAAATGTGCAGATTTGTTAACTCATCAGTTGTTTAAGGGCTTGGATGGTGCACAGCATTTATTACCTTCTCAAAAATCCCAGAATCATGGCTTTTCGGTTTAGATTTGGCTTTTGTGTCACTGGTTTCAACAGCGTATTTGCCAATTTCATAGGAAAGCTGTTTACTGACTGGTCTGGAGATCACACTAACGACATCAGCTTCTGTATCAGTCCAGCCCTGCAATGAATACATCGGAAACAAGCACTTTAGGTTGCCTTTGGGTTCAGTTACTCTGGCCAATAACATGAAGTTACATTTTACATGGACATGGTTCATAAAGGGGAAAGACTGTAAGAAAGATATTTCAAAGAAGATAGCTGATTATACACAACATCATACACCCAAAAAGTTTTAGATTAGTGCAAACAACACTGTAAAGGTTGGAAAGCCTAAAACTTGGTCTGCATATTTTTCTAGGGCTGGTTGAAAAATTTTGATCAACTTTTCCAATCAGTTTTTTTGAAACTTCCATGGTGTGGGAGTGGAGAAATGTAGTCCAGCCAGGAAGCAGCACCCTCTGGGAAGAATGGGGACATGAGGGATGCAGAATTACAACTCCCATGAGGCATCACAGCAGCTCAAGTGGAAGAAGAGATTAAGGTCAATCAAAACGTTTTGACATTTCAGTACTGGAAAATGTTTTGGAGTTTTTCATTCAGTGAAAAGATTTGATTTTTTTTTAAAAATGTCAAAATATCAGAATTTCGTACGAGACAGAAATTCATGTTTTCTATCCACTCTAATTGTTCCTTATACTGGGAGAGCGAGAGAGCACAAGAGAGAGTGTAAAACAAAGAAAGAAAAGTGTGTATAGCAAGCATTCATAAGCAGTGAGTAGCCCTACAACAACAAACCAAATATTAATAAAGGGTAACACTAGTTAGGACACAGATTTCACTCCCAAACTCAAGGAAATTGTTATAAGCAGTTGTCAAAAAATATGTTTTAAAATACCTTGACAATGTCCTTTTAAATTGGTACATGTTAGAATAAAAAAGAGTAGACACATAAGAGACCTTTTCATGGGACCATTGTTCAAAATTGCATAAAAACCTTAATATAAGTTTTTATCAAAAGGATACAGACTCATCTAGAGGAAGGTCAGCCCTGTAATGATTCTGTTGACTTCAACAGAATTTGCATCTGCTTCTGACGGGGCTGAACTTGCTTCAATGCCTTTTTGGATCTGTCACCAGTTTTGTTCTGTTTTCACCCTAATGGTGAAACATCACACATTCTATAGTTCACATTTTACATATACAATGGATTTAATTATCACCACCTGCATTGGATCAGTTGGCTATAAAATGAGTTACAGTTCTGTTTTGTAAAGCCAGTCTCTTCTTGTACTGCTGTACTTGGCCACTTTCTACTGCAAAGATCTGTTTGGAAATTATTTTCCTTGAGATTTTTCAAAGGCATGAAAAAAAATTGCACCCTTTTGAGTGCAACTAAGTTGTAGATAGAGAATTTGACTGCTTGTGGGGGTGCTAAATTAGAGTCAGTTATAACTTGACTGACCAACCTTGGCACAAAATATGTCTTTGCTCTGCCTTTTTGTATTGTACATGTCTAGGGAAAGGAAACTCCTGGTTTCATGGAATTGCATGTGATGATCAAGCATATTAATCAAGGAAAAACTTGTCAAAAACAACATTTAGCCAAATTCTATCTTAAAGTCATACCCTGCTTTCCCCTTGAACTTCAGTATTTAGAGAAGGGTATGTGTGACAAACTTCAACTTCCTACTAAATTAGTGATGAGTCAGAATTCCTAATGAAATCGGGGTGTAATGTGTTCAACTTAACAATTTAAAGGACACAGCGGGGGAGGGGGGGAGCGGGGGGGAATAACATTTCTGTTTGACAGGTTTAATTTTGTATCTACTGTAGTTCCAAAGCAGACCTAAGGTTACTGATGCCTGATAGAAGTTAGCTAGGAAAAAAATTCAACTTTTTAACATTTATATACTTTGAGAATTTGACAGCAGTTTGTCAGTTTCACTATTTTCCCTGTGTAGCCAGGCTTCAATCTACATGACTGCAAGTGTCTGATTGGGCAAATCCGGTTGCAGAATGAGGGCCTTAGATTTCTCCCTTGCTGAAAAACCCTTATATCAGCAGGGTAGTAGAGAAGGGGAGAGGGAGAGCGTACTAATAGTTTTGAAGGATTATTTCTTTTTTAAAAATTCAAGATACATCATTTAAAGGGTGTTTTGTCAGAAACTGTTAGTGAATTTCAAAACATTCAAGTTGAACAATGTCTTTTAGCCTGATGGGTTTAATTTTGATTGGCTTGATAAGTCAGAAGTATAACATTAAAAAAAGTTGGAAAAAATCACAGTTAAAAGTAACTGTCAGAATTCAGAGCTTGACTACATCAACTGAAAGGATATTAGCTTGAAAACATGAACACTCACATAGAACATAATGGCATTTTTCCATTTTAGGAATCATATAAAAATGGTTGAAAATAGAACACTAATGTGCCATTAATAACGTAGAAAGAGATGTGGACTCCAGAAATCTGACCTGCTTCTGGCTACCATGCAGAAACAACATTTCGCAATACTTAGTTTGGCAGCAGCAGCAAGCTTTTGAGATCTTCTGGAAAAATAGTTCTGTGATGGATTTTGTTGATCTGTCTAAATCTGCCAAATAATCTGTTTCTAAATGCAGCCCATTTCACATTCAGAAAGCGCATTGGCTCTTTCTTTACAACCTTGCCTCCCTCCAAGCACTACTTGGGGACTGCAATTTCACTTTTAAGTATCCAAGTTCCAGATCTGTGGTCATTGAAGCACCACACACTAAGTCCCATTCACTTTTTGTCTTCCAATTAGTGCATCTGTCCATTCTCCCATGAGTGACACAAACCTGTAAGAATATCAATGTTATTTGCATCCTGCTTTTAAACTTTATCTTCCTTTTTTAAATTCTGCTTTATCCCCAATTACCCCCTCAGAGAGCCTCTGTACCTAGCACCACAATGCATCTTTCCATCTAATCTACCTACCACTTTGAAGGGTGCTGTATGAAAATTATTTACTTGCTTTTTCAAAATAAACATATCTGAAGGGTTTTCCTTACTGATTCACTGTCTGAGAGAGAGGATATCCGTCTCTTTCCTTTCTGCAGTTCACTTATCTCAGACTGGCTGGTAATAGTGAATCGTCTGGTTGAGAGATACCTGCTGCAAGACCTGGAGTCTTTACGAGAAACTCTTAGCAGGGGTCGAAGGCACGGCACATACTTTGCAATGGCCATTCTAGTGGATACAAAATAGAACCAACCAGTCAATTCCCTCTGCCTAAATAAAGCTGCCAGCACAAAAAGCCACTCACCATAAACATGAAATTCATTCAGACAGACACATGCTGCAGAGACTGAAAAGTTTCCCAGATTTCAGATACTGCTTTGTGTGCAACTTCTCTTCAAGACAATTGTAAAGAAACAAGACATGAGTGATTTACAGCATTCTGTTGAGTCAGAATTTACTACTGACATTGCTGGGCGGGGAGAAGAATATTAAAATGTAATTTTTTCTCTGAAACCAGCTATTAAAATGTTTTATCTGCTTAAAGACGAACTGGGATAAAAATAAAGCTTCTGGCCCTTTAAACTGAACTGTGCAGAATTACCACATAGAGAATTATTTTAATCTCTCCTTAAGCAGCTATTCTAACTTCCTCCTGGGCATCTGCTCACTTAGTATCGGTGTGGTGGTATAAACTCTAAAGCAAACTGTTCTTTCTAGATGAGGGGTAAGGGATCATTTTTACTACACTGCTCTTTTCCCCACCCCAGAATCCCCAGAGTCCCCAGAATGCTTTTGAAAGGGGAGAAGCAATATTGCATGGCTTAGCTGTGCTTGTTCACATCACATGTCCCTCATCTGAACTTGAACTGGGGTTGACCTGGATGTTACAACTAAAAAACAATTATTAGATGACTGAACAATGGAAGCGCGAAGGAGGAATGGGAAGCCCACAACACATGAAAGAAATGGAGCCATTTACCAAACTCCAACTCTCATTGGTCTGGGTAACTTGACAAACTGCTATTTGCAACACTGACAAATGGGTACATCTCCCAAGGAAATATTTCAAAGCAAAAGACCATAAAACTTGTTTTTAGCCAGGAAAGGTCTCTACCCTTTATCAGATGATCAATGAGTACAGCTATCACCCTTCCATAAATGTCTCTAGCTCCCATCTGCACGGTAATTTGTTCTGAGTACAAACTCCACTGACATTTATAGGGCATTTAGAACCGCTTTTTCTGTTTTCTTTTTTGGCTTCATGCTCACTTGCAGAGGTAAAAAAAACAGCATAAAGGTAAAATAAGCAGATGAAGCACAGCTCAGGCACTAGCATACAACGGGATTTCAATGAATCCAAGAAAGTTGTATCAGAGATAGATTTGGTTTTCTTTGCTATGTTATTTGTGTTTGAAGAGAGCAACCTTACCTGTATTTGGGATGAGTTATGGCATAAATGATGGGGTTGTGAATGGCAGAAGCTTTGGCAATCACAGCTGGTACGGTGTTCATAAAGGGTGTCAGGAGATGGGAATACCTAAAGAAATGCAAAGTGATTATTTTTTACTGCATAGTCAGCACACAGTAAAAAACAAAAATTAGTTACAGAGTGCAGGGACTGCTTTTTACTGCTGCCACTCTCCCTCCCTTCCTCTTCTCCCAGGAGGGTAGGATGAAATAAGAGGGGCAAGGAGCAGGACCAACATACCGTCAAGGAACATTCTTTTTCAACCTAGTGCATGGGACAGATTTCATACCCATTTTATTCAAGGATCATGCCAGACTGTGCTTCAGAGAGGCACAATCTCTTTGGTGCTCCTTTTGACAAGTGCTGCTGTGTACCATATTCTACTCATGGTTGTGGCTTAAGCAGGCCACAAGCTAATCCCAGATTGTTTACAGTAAAGACCATGGGACAAGTTCAGCCTTTAATAAGCAAGTGCTGTTCCTTTGGAGTCTATGAGCTAAATTCATTAGTGACCCAAATGGTGGTGTAAGTTGGTCAGAAAAGAGCTGTAAGGGCTAAAATAGCATAACCTGCACTGATATGGCATTTAACAGGTGTGCTGAATAAGGGACGAGGGTGTTGCATGAAAAGCAGCTAACACAAGAGTGCCTGATAAATCAGCTTCCCACCTACACTTTGACTTTACCTGCCGAAAGCTGGGAACCAAAGTCAAAGAATCCTCATGCAGTGGAGGGTGGTTTTATGTTTTATTGAGAGTTTGCAGGATCTTCATCACCTGACATGTATGTTTAGAGGAGATGGTGGAAGTTCTGACTGTGGTGCTGCTAGCTTTAACAGCCCAGGTCAGGCCCCGTTCAGGTTGTCTTGATAAAAATAAAGTCAGTAGTGGAACCTACACTTAAATATCAGTAATATTGCAGGGTCAACTTGCATCAACTAGACCCTGAGTGGGTCTTTCCTTCAGCAGTGGGAATAGCAGCACACTTTGTAGAATCATTTCCCTCTCTCCCAGGGAAAGTTGCCTGTGGCTTTATGTTGTGCCCCAATGCTTTGCTGCACCAAGAAGGAACAGGGCTGCAGACTAAGGAGGCAGCTCATCATCCTTGGAATGGAGTTTTCCATCACATTCAGCCGACGGAGAAGTGTGTGTTATGTGACCAAATGGAAATGGGTCCCCAGCAGATAATATTGGAGTGTCTTCATGGGGCAGCTGACTGCAGGCATTCCTACCAGCACTAACCTAAGACTCACTTCTGGTGATAGTTTCCAGATCACAGTGTGTTCTTTTTCCTGCAGTTCTTGAAACAGGGTGGCCCCTACCCCTGCTCCTAGGACATTGATCTGGAGGATGAATTCCTTGGAGAACATAGTACTTGCTGGCAACACAGGATGTCCTGGAATGCTGTCTCCCATTTTAAGGTCGTAGTAACCTTTCAGGGGACGGATGCTTTAGTAAGATTAGTCAATAGTGCATTCAGTGAGGTAAACGGTGACACAAACTTTCTGTCATTGCTGGCCAGACACAGGAAAAACAACACCTGTGTCATGGTGGCTGGAGTGCAACAGTCCTACTGAGCCTGTATCATGTTAGCTAAATCTTCCACTCCCACAGCATGTACTGTAGTTATTAGGTTTCATTCTTTGCTTTTGTACATTTTGTTAATCTATCAGACCAGTCACACTCAATGACTGCAAGACTGTAGTCACAGTTTCTAGGTCTGTCTCCTAATCTATGCTGTATGTGACAATGCTGTCAAGGTAAAGTCAACATAAGGCATTGGGACTTGGTCTATTAATCCCCGAGAAGGCACAGTGGCTCCCAAGGGGAACAAAAAGGTATAGCCCCAAACTGAAAAGGTTGAAGGAGAGGACAAAGGCAGTTTTCTGCTTCCTAGTGTCTGCAGTAACTCCTGCCTCAGTTCTCATAAACTCTATCACAGTCAATTTTATCCTGTATTGGTTGTTAAGTTTCAGATGCACATTTCTCATCAGATGACTGGAAAATTATAAGTAAGAGGCAGTGGTGGGTTAGTGCAAGTGTCATAAATATAAAGGGAAGGATAACAACCTTTATGTATGCAGTAACATAAATCCCTCCTGGCCAGAGGTACAGAATCCCTTACTTTTAAGGGGTTAATCAGTTCAATTAACCTGATTGGCACCTGACCAGAAGGACCAATGGGGAAAGAAGATACTTTCAAATCTGGGGAGGGGAGAACGTTCTCGTCTGTGCTCTTTTGTTGTGTGCGACCAAACAGGAAAAAGCATCTCCTAAAAAGATACATCTAAAATTACAGAAGTTGTAAGTAATAGCAAGGAAATGCGTTAGATTATCTTTTGTTTTAGCTTGTGAATTTTCCCTATGCTAAGAGGTAATTTTATTCCTGTTTTGTAACTGGGAAGCAAAGTCAGAGGGGATCCTCTGGGTTTTAAATCTTTTTATTTACCCTGTAAAGTTATCTTCCATCCTGATTTTGCAGATGTGATTCTTTTACTTTTTTTTTTAATAAAATTCTTCTTTTAAGAACCTGATTGATTTCCAGTGTCCTGAAAACCAGGGATTTGGTCTGTGCTCACTTTATTAACCTATTGGTTGGTATATTATTCTCAAGCCTCCCCAGGAAAGGGGGTGAAGGGGCTTGGGGAGATATTTTGCAGGGGATAGAGCTTCAAGTGGCCCCTCTCTGAATGTTTGTTTAAATCATTTAGTGGTGGCAGCAATACCGTCCAAGGACGAGGAATGGAATTTGTGCCTTGGGGAAGTTTTTAACCTAAGCTGGTGGAATATAAGTTTAGGGGGTCTTTCATGCGGATCCTCACATCTGTACCCCAGAGTTCAGAGTGGGGAGGGAACCCTGCCAGCAAGTATTAATCTACTAATTTTTAATTAATAATCATTAATTTTAATTTATTTTATTTTGCACTTGTATAGGGTCTTTGACCTGAGGACATCAAAGTGCTTTAAGATATTAAATCGATTTAGAAGTAGGTAGTTGGAGGACAGGGTGGCTAAGTGACTTGTTCAGTGTCACACATTAAATCAGGGGCAGAGCCTGAACAGAACCCAGGAAGGAGTCTGACTGCTTATCCCTTGCTCTTAACCAGTCCATATTAATGGATACTTTTTTTACTGGACATTATGTCTTTATTGAAAATGATTGAATAAAATGCTGACAGTTAAATAGGAGGAAAAAATGCAACACATTCCAAGATTTTTTGAAATATATTTCAGGTTAGGTCATCCATTGTTACTTTTCAGTGCAGCACCAAAAGAACTAAAGCCAGTTATGCCAGATATAGGGCCTGATATTGAGCTCACTTACACTGTTGTAATTGAGGGGTAATTCCACTGCAGCCAATGGATTTATTGCATCAGACTAGTGTAAGTGAGTGCATAATCAGGCCCAGAGAAAATAAATCAAAACAAGTTACGAATCTGTTTTGCAACCTGGAATAGCCATATGGTCATGTTCAAATATTTTAGCATTGTGAAACTTTATTTTAGAATTAATTAGCATGATTTCATGTATTGCCAATAATTAGCTTTTCTGTGCTGAAAAATCAAACTGTGAAAAATTACAACCAGCATGTGCTCCATTTACCAAATGTGTAACAAAGGATTACTCCTGAATATGTGAAGGTTTCCCATTTCCATTGTTGAGCATTAAAGTTGACAACTACTTGGCCTTTCATAATTAGCTTCTTTTACAATTTCACACCTTCTGGGCTCACTGATTTTTTTTCTTGCTAATATATTCATAATTACCCAGCAAAAGCCACCAGAGCTACAATAGAATATGGTGACCAGGAAATGATGTAAAGTAAGATGACAATCAAGGCAATTTTGGCCATTTTCCATTCATTCTTCATCTTCTGATACTGTCTCTGGGATACTTTATTAACATCAGAACCAATGTTCTGAACAGCCCTAAGGGAAATAAACCATAATTACAATGCAAAATATATGGGAGAAATTGAGCAAACAACTTAACAAAATAGAACAAAGGACTGGTCTTTAACCAGATCATGCCAACCCTCTCCAGCCCCTCTCCCCCAAGGTAATATACTATGATGTATGTAGATTATGTGTAATTGCTTTTCCACAGTAGAGGCCCTGTCCTGCTCACAATAATCAGGGGCAAAACAACCATTGACTTCAGCAGGAGCAGGATGGAGGGCTATGTGAGGAATATGTTTCCAAAATAAGGCTTCAGATTATTCAGATACCCAGATTAATCTGCATGATACCTCTAATTGTGGAAGGAGAAAATTATTTATTTACTTCTTAGGGCCAGATTTTGGCACCCTTACTCACACTGTTACGTGAGTAGATACATTGAAATCAATGGGATTGAACATGTAGTAAGGTACTGCTCACCATGAGTTAATATGGCAGAATCGGGCCCTGGTTTGGTACTCCAGTAGTTCTGATTTCACATATTCCTGATGCAAATTGTTGCACTTCGCTTAACACAAGGGTTCTCAACCTTTTTTCTTTGGGAGGCCCTCCCAACATGCTATAAAAACTCCACAGCTTGTGGGAGGGCCCTCTGGCTCCAGATGTTGGGTGGGGGGTTCAAGGCTGCTGGGGAGGGGCTTGGGAGCCCCACGGGATGGAGGGCTCAAGGGTTTTGGCTCAAAGGGCTGGGGGCTTGGGGCTTCTGCCCCTTGGGGTGGGTGTTGGCTTGGGGTTTCAGCCCCGTGGGGTGGCTTCTGCCGGGGCTTCAGCCTCACGGGGTGCCAGGTCTCAGGGCTTCAGCCCCACTGCTTCAGACCTGGGGGGCACCAGGGCTTGGCACTTCAGCCCTCCAAGTGGCTTCTGCCGGGGTTTGAGGCACCCGGGCTTTTGGGGCTTCAGCCGAAAGGAGCAGCTTCTGCTGGTGCTCAGGGCTTGGGCAGCTTCTGCCAGGGTTAAGGGTGCTGGAGCTCAGGGCTTCAGCCATGTGTGGTGTCTGGGATCAGGGCTTCTGTCCCCCAGAGTGCTGGGGCTCGGGACTCCAAGCATTGGGTACCGGGGCTCAGGGCTCTGAGCAGCCCTGCTTGGCAGATCCTCTGAAATGGCCCGCTGACCCCCGGTTGAGAATTGCTGGTTTAACACATTGCATCTTGCATCACTGCACCTTTTTTAACAAAGAGTTCATAGCCAACTTCCACCTGTTCACTTGTAGACCAATGACATTTTGCAGGGGAGTCCTTTCATAGTCCTTCTGTTGACCCATATGCAAGGGAAATTCCCTACTGGATATCCCTGTCTGTTTCAAGGCCACTTTGTGCCATGTACACATGGCATAAGTGGCTGAAGCAAACCAAAGAAACTGGCATTGAATATGCCTGTGTGCTGAACAATCACTTAGCTTTATTAGGCCTCTCTGAAGTTCCTCACACTTTATCTAGACTTGACTAACCTAAATAGTTTTGTATCATCTGCTAGATTTCTCACCTTTCTATTCACGCCTTTTCCCAAATCATTAGTAAATGTATTAAACAATGCGGGCTAAGTACCAAACCTTGGAGACCACCCCGCTCCACACACATTTAACATTTTTGCCATGTTGAAAATTCATTGTCTGTTCCTATTCTGTTTTGTCTCTTACCCATTTCCATTAAAGGAAAAAACTTGTTAAAATAGAGTTGCAAGTTTTATATATATATAGCCTTTTATATAGAGAGAGCCTTTGTTTTTATGGGGTTTATAAAACAATATATATAAACCCATAAAAACAAAGGCTCTCCCCCAAGCAAGGAATGAAAACCTAGACTATTGACAACTCACTCATTGGCATTCTTGATAGCCTTGAAGATAAAGACATAACTGTATATGATGGCAATCAGAGGAATGAAGAAAACAAAGCAGAAGAGGAGCATTGTATAGGCACGGACTGATGGGGTAAAGGTCACGTAGTCCCAGGAACAGGAAGTCAACAAACCCTCAGGAACATAAGCACCTAGGAAGAGAGAAAGAAAAAAACACATGAGCCATGAAAAGATTTTTATTGGGCATTCTGTGGAGGAACAAGTGGAAAAAGAATTCAGCATATCCCTGGGATTTGAAAAAGATCAAACCTGGCTCTGTTGGTAGAGAGAAGATGGTTAATAAGGGCACCTGTTTCTTGTTTTAAAGCACTTCTTACCATTACTGATTCCACTGCTTTATAGGCTCTTAGAATTTACTAGATCTAATGAATCAATCTTTAGACTAATAAAATAATGATTCTTTTTCATTCCAGCCTTCAGACCTGATCCAAAGCCCACTTTAGTCAATGGGACTCATTCCATTAACTTCATTGGGCTTTGGATCAGACCCATGTTTCTAAAATCATTAAAATGTCTCAATTTTTCTCTTAAATTATCACCTCTCTTGCTTGGGAGTGAAACGAAACTGACTATGCTAACCTCTGCTCTTTTAAATTCTGCAGACAACAGAAGTGTACTGTGCAATTCCAATTAACTTTGCCATGAAATAAATGTAAAAAACACATGCACATTCCTACCTGAAATAAGAAATATTCTCCTTAGAGAAACTGTGTCAGACAGTTAAAGAATAAAGCAAATTCAGCACCAAACTATTTTTAATCATTAATTTAATTGCCAGCATTTAACCAGAATGCTAACTTCTGTGGAACCAGGTCTAGAAAATATTGCACCAGGTGCTATGCTCAGATATGTCTCATTATTGTATGAGACTCAGTCTGATGGATACTATTAGAATCTAATTATAAGACAGCAGTTATAATACCCTTCAAGTAATTAGTCTGCCTCATCACATTAAGGTTCTCTCATCTAAGAGTATTTGTCATATTACTCTCTTGAAATTCTCTCATTAAGCTAAAAGCCATAATGTTAAACAGCTGGAATTTACCAACTATGCATGCTACACATTTGGGGGGAGAAAAAAATGAATAACAAAAATAACTCAATGATGTCTGACCCTGTTGCAACAGCCTGGTAGGCAAGTGAGAAAGTGCTACTTTCTCACCTCAATTTAACCCTACCTTGCCCCACCAATGGGGACCAGGCCTGCTCCAGGGGTGGGTAATGTTGGAGCTTAGGCGATTAACTGGTAGGTTCAAGTTCATCCTACTGTAGGTTAATGCTGACTGTAAGTTGGTGGCCTGAGTGAAACAAGTTAATGGTATTAGTCTAGTTTCTAACAGAGAAACAGAAATAGTGCTATCTCAGCCAACAGTAAGGGCCAAATTTTCAATTTGTCAAGATGTGAAATACGAACACATACCAATTTACACACACAAAATTAACGTGTGCAAGCAAATCAGCTACCTAATTACTACTACCTGTCATCCTTTGTTAAGATGTCAAGGGCTAAATGGGCACAGAGAGTAAACAACACTCTTACCTCAAGAATTGGTCCCTGCTAATCGGGTTGAGGCACATTGTAGGGGTGTGGAAAATTGCACTCTTCCTGCCCATACTGTACCGCTTTAAGGTATAAATAGAGGAATTCAGGTTCCACAGGCTGTCATTCTGAGCACTGAAAATCATTTTGAAAACTTAAAAACTGTGCTCATCTGTCCCCTTTACTTTTTATTGTTCAACTCTGCTGGATTGCAGAAGATTATGCACTCTTAGGGAAGCCTGTTTTGCATTATTTTTTGCCCTTTATTTTATATGTTTTTTATACAGCATGCTAATGAGATTCCCTGCAAAAGTGACAAAGTAAGATAATTAAGTGGGATATGTGCACTGCAATCTTTTCTGCTGATTAAATTGCTTAAGACTCATTAGCTATAAGCAATCTCCTTCACAGTGATTTCTTCAAACTTCATCTTAATATGTAAATTCTGTTTATTCATCCTTGTGTCTAATAGACCATTCTTTAATCCCCCCATTTTCTCCTGGTATCAGAAAATAGACTTGAATTCTATCTCACTTACTCCATCCAAAGAAGGGTGGGAGGCTCCAAGCCAAAGAGTACAGCCAGACTCCTAGAAGAATTATCAAAGCCTTCTTCTTGGACATCACCACAATGGAGGCCAGTGGTCGTGTGATCACAAAATATCTGTCCAGTGCGATTGCCATCAATGTGATCATGGATGTAATGCCAAAAAGGGCTCCACAGAAGGCATACAGTTCACAGCCTTTCAATGGAGAGTACAATAGGGTTAACCAACAGTTTTAACCATCCATGCTGGTTATACACGTATTCCTGGGAGACCACTTATCCTGTGGCCTTAGGCTAGTAACACATTACCTAATTACTTTCAGAACTCTTAAAGCAACAGGAAGTTCACTTTTCCAGCAGCAATATACTTTCCAACTGTGGGCTGGCCTTGCTAATTATATTATTCATGGATGTAAACTTCAAAGATTTACCTGCCTTTATTATTCAAGACAGTGACTTAATATATATTCACTTAACATTCACTTTTCAACTTCTGAAGTTTCTAGTGGGAGTATTTCAGAGATCCCATGGCAGCTCATTTAGTTTTCATTTTACTCTAATTCCCATGGAAAGACCTATTTCTGTAGTTCACTCAGATACTGTGGAGCAACTCATATCCCAAGAGGAGGTCAGCATAGTTTCAATAAATAATTCAGACAATGGATTGGTTGTCAGTTGTTTACTTTAATTATTTGCTATTTGTGGAACATGATTGGTCACAGTTTGTTTTCTGCTGATGGACAGAAATCTTTAAATTAAGAGATAATTAATGATGAATGGGAATTAAAACGTGTAAATTCATGAAGTGTTTGAGATGCACCAACTGTTTCATTAATATCTGCAATTATACAAATAGTACAACACCCATAGAGCACATACTCATTAATATATTCAAAAGTCTGCTTTTAATTATTCAGCCAGCTCTAGAGATTAGACAGTTTGTTTATACATCTGTGTATAGTCTTTTCAGTTTTGTAACATGAAGAACTGCAGAAACAAGCATTTGTTATTATTTACTTAATTTAATGAGCAAGTCAACAATAACCAACATTTCAATACCATTCCTCTTGTTCACCTCCCCCACCACATGCATGCAAGAAATAATTGCAGCAAGAGGAAGAGTAGCCCCTGCATGGAAAGAGTCAAATGGTGGGATTCACAAAGGTATTTAGGTACCTAACTCTCATTGATTTCAGTGGGAGTTAGGCACTTAAATACCTTTGTGAATCCCACCTGAAGAGTCTTTATTCCACAGATTTGCTTAGGCCGTATAACAGATGGGCCCCATCAGATTGGCTGTATGATCTGTGTATTTGTCTCATACACAGAGGGTGAAATCCTGGCTCCACTGAACTCATTGGGAGATTAGCCATTCATTTATAAGGAACCAGGATTTCACCTTAAATCTGAAACTCTGGTGTTGGTAGGCAGGGGGAAGGGAGAGCTCAGTGAAGCAGCACATAGCTTTGAGCCTGTGGAGAATCAGGGATGGGTCACTGGAAAGGATAGTTGGACAAGGTTTAAGAGGCAAGGATTAGACACTGAAAGTAGACAGTTTAAAATAAAAAGGTAACTGACACGCATTAAAAACCAAGCGGGAGAGGGGGAGAAAGGACCAGGGGTGGATAGTTCATATGTATATTTAAATAAACCAAATCATGTTCCATTTCCTATCCAGATCACTTTCCTTGATGTTGTATCCCCTTCACCCACCTTTTGTCTGGCTTTGTCTTTATAGATTTTAAGCTCTTTGGGGCAGGGACTGTGTTTTCCTGTATGCCTCTCTCTCACTTAGCATATTTTGGGCACTGCTGTCACATAAACAACAGTAACTCATGTTTGATGAGGGATGTTTGGTAGTTTAGACCCAATGCGTGAAATACAAAGCATATTCACTGACCACACTGAGAATATTTGGTTTATATTTGTATTGTAAAATCTTACATTTATTGTCAGGCTTTCTAGCAGCAGAAATATCAAGATAAAATTCCATATTCTAGTTAATTAGTGCCAGTGGCAGATGATATGCTGGGAGCAGGTGCTCCTGGGCCTTATTCCTCTCTTTTTTAAATTCAGGTGCGAGATGATTGTGAGTGAATGCAAGCTGTGAGAGAGTATGTTTGTTTATCAAACATTAGAGAAGACCTTTTTCTATCTCACTATTTTTGCAGTAATGGTATAGACTTCGTGATGTAAATATATTTATAACAAACAGAAACTACATTAGAAGAAAGTAATTTAGGTTGCAAAGTCAAGCACTCAGAAGTTAGGAAATACCAGATTTATGGTTTCCCATGCAAACTTGATTTCCCCTTTTGTGCATCCAGTATTTGCATTGAAGGAGACAAACATTCTAGAGAAAAAAAAGTATGTGATCATGTAATTAAAACTGTAACATAATGCACATGCACAAAGGGGCTCACTGAAGGTCACACAGACAATCATAAATCTGGCATTTCTTAACTTTTTAATACTTGACTTTACAACCTAAATACCCTTCTTTTAATGTAGTTTTTAGTGTAATTTCCTCTGGCTTTTTAAAGGACAAAGATAAAAACAAATTTTGATTTTTGCATCTGTATCAACTCCTTGTCATACACCTGTCCAAAATTCAAAATCAAACTCATTGAAAACTGTTAAATTTCAGCTGTTATCATATCTATACCTCTAAAATATAAATAACTCCAAGTACAGACCCAAGCTTGTTCTAAACCTTTTGACAAACTTGGACTAAGTCCTGAATGCTCAACAAAACTTGAAACCAGGCAGTTTTTATGTGCTTTCGGCTTTAGTAACTATAGTTTTGCATAGCTTTGATACTTATACTGTCAATTCTTAACTTGAAGTCATTACCATGGACAACAAACTAAATTATCTTTCAGGAGATATATGTACAAACCTTTCTTGCCAAAAATCCAGTGCTTGTGGAGACTGGTAGTGAAGAAAATTGGAGCCTGTGTGATGGACATTAGGAAGTCGCTAATAGCTAGATTGATGATGAACATGTTGGCTGGAGTTCGAAGGCTCTTACTCCTACAGAGAAGAGATCAGAAGGAACATTGCTAAGCGCTGATCTGTGGGTAATTATGCCATTGCTCTTTGCTGTATGCAGTGTTATTGTAGCCATGATGGTCCCAGGATATTAGAGTGGGTGAGGCAATACCTTTTACTGGACCAACTTCTGCTGGTGAGAGAGACAACCTGTTGAGCTTACACAGAGTTCTTCTTCATGAACCAAAGAAGAGCTGTGTGTAGCTCGAAAGCTTGTCTCTCTCACCAACAGAAGTTGGTCCAATAAAATATATTCTCTCACCCACCTTGGCTCTCTATTGCTCTTTGCTGTGAGCACTGGCAGCTTCACAAATATCAAGGTGTAGAATATGTCAAGCTACATCAAACTGGCTTCTGATTTTCCTGAAGAGAGAAGTTAAATGAGACACCATCATTTTAATAGCAAACTCCTTACACTTCTTTGTGCCTTAGTAGAGGATATGGACTGGTTTTGATAACCAGCTCAGAAACAGGAATAGAAGACATTGTTCTCTGAATACTTTGACCCACTGCACCCTGTGTCCATGATTAACAGGAAATTAAAGTTGATGTACTCTATGGATTTTCTAGATCTGGGTCATGCAGAGCTGAGGGGACATTTTCCACTGCTGATGAGATTAACAGCAACTTCCAAATATGGGGATTAAGGAGGCTGACTTTATACCACATGCAGCATTTTATTTTATCTCAACTCCTCTCCATGACAGGCAGTTCACTGCACCAGGCACTGAGTTTGAAGGGACCTATTGCCATACTTATTACATACCCACCTCCATAAATTATTCGCGCGAACATAAAATAGAGTGTCCTGTAGTGTTTTTGTACAAACTTATTTGCTATTGAGAGTTCTTAATATCAGTACTTAATGATTCTGGCTTTTTATTCTGTTTGAAATTGTGACACTTTATCTAATGTCTCTACAGCTGCTTTCCTGAGTTTTCAGTCTCAGACACAATTGGCCAGATAATATGTTGCACCTCCTGAGAGCTGTAGCATAGAAGATGCATTCCAGGAGGATCAGTGTGTAGGGCAAATATTCTGTTTTGCCCCCAGTGTAACTTAGAGCTGTTCCAGGGGCACACATCATTTCAGTCACTCCCCTCCAGCCCCTGACAATCTTTGTGCATTACAAGGCTGTCTCAAGAGGTTCTGTTTTCCTAGAGAAACTGGCAGATGTTCCCTGGACCAGCCCACAATCACCAATTTTAAAGCACTGTTGCAATTGCAGTTTTAGGGGCAGCAAAATACTCAGTTACTGTTTACAAACTAACTCCTTTAGGCAGTTGGTGGTTTGTTATTGCTATGCAACTACTGATACCGCATCAATGGTGGGTATGTGTAGTATCAGTGCACCCCCAGCTCTGCAGTTCTACTCTAGTCTCCCCACCCACCTCTACATTTTTAGATAACTCCACGGAGAGACACAGCCAGCCCCACACCTGTCCCCTACCACAGACACGGCTGTTGCTGCCAGATTTCCTGCTGAGCTGCCTCTTCCAGAGTGGGACACACCACAATACTGCTCTAGTCTTCTCCCAGCTGCTGCTGTATTCTTCCCCCACCCTGTGTAGGCTGTATGGTAGCATCTTCCTGGGTGGGCAGGCCAAGTCTCAAACACCACAGAAGGGTCAATATCTGATATAAATGCTCTTGTTCAGCCTAGCTCAGTCGGCAGCGTATCAGTCTCATAATCTGAAGGTCCTGAGTTTTGTCCTCAGAGGACACATACGAGAGGATCACAAAATGGCCCCTTCTGACCTTATAGTCTATGAAACATAACAGAAAATGTTAGATGCGGGGGAGGTCGTAGTTCAGGTCAACTGCACCTGTATTCTCTTTCTATGGTCCATCAAGAGCACCCCTAGGCTTATGGCTCCCCAGCCATCTCTTCACTTGGGTGGAGATCTGCATCTCTGTCCCATCTGACCAGGGTGTTTCCAGGCTGAAGTGTTATTCCTATCGGAAGACAGGCTGTCTAAGCAGACGTACTTGCTTTCTCTTCATAGACTAATCACGGTGAATTGCCCACTGTTATAAGTTATCACATAGCTCTTTCTGAGCAAGCACAGTTTGTTCTTCAGAGAAAAGCATTATAGAGAAAACACTAAAAACAATAAAAGAACCTACACGCATGCTAAAAGTTCACCAGAGATCACCCCTTCAACATGGCCTCTGGCAGGAGCAGTCCTTGAAAGCCCTACCCAAAGGTTTTCATGTGGTTTCTACTTCATCACTCACAGTCTTATGGGGCCTTAATAGGCCAAAGTCCTTCCAACCCTTTCCTAAGGATTGGGGCCCTCTATGGACCAGAAGTCCTGTCCATTTGCTGGATCTGAACAAAAAGCCCTGAGTCAGTTTACCACCAGGTTATTTATCCCAACATCCTTTCTTTGTCCACTGGTCTCTAGAATCCAGTCTGAACCTTTGAAGAGACCTGTGAATAGGTAACAGGCCTTCAAAGGGCTGATATCCAGAGGAATTACATTAGCATAAACCCTCCATCTAGAGAAGTTACATACAATCTCACAATAACACATAAACAATTGCATTTTAAATACAATGGTTCCCAAATGTATTCAGCTTACTTAAATAAGGTTTAACTTAATTCAATAAGGTTTATCCAGGATATTGCATAACTATCACAGGAAGTTGTAACGAAAATCTGAGAGATTGGTTTGGGATACTTCCACTATCAAAACCACTAGCAGCAAATTATACTTCACCTTTCATTAAGGCCTATTTCATATGCAAGATAAGAAATACAAGGCCATGGATCTGGGTTACTTTGATGCACAGCTCATTAGTTTGAATTAGTACAATCATAATGATAGTGTTCCTGTACCACATTTCCTTAACACAATCCCACCAGTATTAAAGTCTATCCACAGGAATATTTAAGACACACAGAACAAACGAGATGTATATGTACCTGCAGAAAGCATAGATGACCAGGAAGTTACCCAGTGTTCCGGTGATCCCCACCATCAGAATGACAGTTCCAATTGTGTAGTGGGCATGGTCTGGAACATCCAGTGTAGGGAAGGCATGAGGAACATCTTGCACTGTCATTTCCTACAGAACAAGCAGGAATTCATAAATGAACAGTGGTACTTAACTGAATGTGCTAGCATCTGCTATTCTTCTGGGAGATGAGATGGATAAAGGAGGTTAAAAGCTGGATAAAAACAAACACTTTGGAGTAAACTAATCCCTTTCAAATTACATTTATTTTTATTCCTCTTTTGCAAATAAACATGGCAGGCATGATTGTATCAGCAACGTTTGAATCAAGGGCCATTTTTTTGTTTTTACTACCAGTTTAGTGTTTCAGAGATTGGAAAATCTAAAGGAGCAAACAAAAACAAAATACATAATAGTTGACAGAAATACACTGGGACTCTATTGCATTTGACCTCAAGGAATGCTGTAAATAACAGCAAGTTTGTTCTTTGTAATTTTCATCCGATGAGAATTTCAATGCCTGTGGTAAAGTTTGATTTCTATTATTTCCTTAAATCATTGGCTAGTTTTCTAATAAATAAATATTACACATCTTTAGTGAAAATGGTAAGTCCAGTCGATAAACACTTGTTTATTCAAGCCTTTAATACAGTAGAAATCTGGTTTCTCCCATTGACTAACCAGTGCTGAATTACTAATACCCTCATGACCTGATTACCTTGTAGTGTTGAACAACACTGTTCCTTACAGATTAAATTGAGGATTGAAAAAAACAAACAAACATTTTTTTAAACATTTGTGTTCGATACAAGTTCCATTTTTATCATGGCCCCAACTTTGTGACTTAGACAATAACAGCTAAGAGGCATGGTGACCTGATAGCAGTGGAAGATGGAAGGGGAATGATACCCAAAGTGTCACCACCCTGCCCACTTTTGACATGCATACCCTGAGCATGTAACTTTCTATGGTCCTAATGGATCATCACAATTCAGAAGCATAGGCAAGATACAGTCCTCCCATGCTAGCTAATTTGCAGGAAAATCCCAAATTGTGCTACATGGGGACCTAACCTCTTTCAGACATAAACAAGTCAATGTCTAAATAATAGGAAAGGGTATTTTGCACCTCAGCATAGGTGAGGTCAAGGATCTATTCTCCTGCAATAATTCTAATCCTCCCCAAAAGGAATTTAACTCTTGATGCCAGGACAAGCCACCACAGATGCCTATAGCCTTGCCACCAGTTCTCAGTCCAAGATGGTATATCCAGATTGAAAATATTGGCTTCACAGTCCAAGAGATGCACATCACCTGGTCAAAAGAGCCCATAGCCATCATAGGTAATGCTCTTGTGATTCAGAATCAGACCTCTGGCCCCTAGATGAAGGAGCTAAAACTCATCGGTCAGTTAATATCTTTCTGCACCTATTCCACTGCCATTGATCTGCATGTGCCAAAATAGTAGTAGCTCAGACCACGCTAATATGATCTCTGGAAAAAGCAAAGAGCAATCCTGTTTCACATGGATTAACAGCTCAGTTCTCTTATCTACAACCAAGCTTTTCCCACTCTGAGATGCAGAACAATAACTTTGGGGTGGTGAGGGTGCTGTCATCACAGCTCATAATTCAAGGGAGTTAGCTGATGCCATCACATGCCATGATTACTGAACTGCAAGAATCAGACTGGTCCAGAATAAAAAGCCAAGTTGAGATGCTTGCTGACATGCAGCTACTCACTTCTGAGCCCAGCACAGGATGCCTACTATCCAGATCACAGCCTCTCCTGTGACCAGTCAGTAGCTGTCTCATGACTTTACTTGCTGATCTTGATCAGCTGGGGATCAGATGGTTTGGGTCAATTATCAGATCCAAGTGGGAAGGAGTCATAAAAGGCTAGGAGAACCCCACTGGGGAAGAGTGTTGCAGGAGGGGGATTCTCTCCTGTGACTAGTCCTGTGGGGATAGGACAGCATGAGGGAGGCATGTGGCCATGTTAAACCCCAGGCAGGTGGCCAGGAAATAGTCTGAAAATAAGGATCTACCTTGTGAAGAGCCAGACTGGTGGGCCTGGGGAACCCTGAGAATCAGTGATCTGTAAGAAAGCATAAAAGAACTAAGCCCAGAAAGGGTGGAAGACCCTTCTATTTTATGGGACCATTGTTTACTTATCAATGCTCCATCTGGGTACAGACAAGGGGCCAGAAGGTGCTGTGAGACAGAAGGGAGTGCTGTGCAGGCTGACCCTGCTGTAAATACAGATGATCCAAGCAAATCCCTGAGGGGAAAGGAAGGAAGGTATGAGCTCCCCACTCCCAGCAGTTATCTGCAGGATTGCCAACAAATTGAGAGGGGAGGGGTGTTCCATTTCCTGTGCAGTACAGGAGCAGGCCAGACTAGTAGAAGCAGCTGGAAAACATGTCTCTAAATTGTCATGTTTAATGTTGTTAAGAGGGATATGGAAGTGCTCAGCTGGAGCATCTCCTACCAAGAATGCAGGAGAAGGGATGGAAAGTAGGGTTCTCAAGAGTGTTGTGTGGTATGGTGAGGGCAGGGATAGCAGTCTTCCCAGAAATGCAGAACAGACAATATGCATCTCCTGGCAAGTGGGGGTGGAGTGGTAGGAAGAGGCCTACTTCCCGCCAGCACTAGCTGCCAGCTAATCCTAACACTCCTTATCTGTTCTAGAACTAACTGATAGCAGCCATCCTAATAAAGGAGGCCTGCCAGTGGATGAGGCAGCTAGGACATGGGGTTGCCACCTCTGAGGCAGAAAACTGCAACTCCCCCGTATCCCTCCCAGGCACCCAACTGACCCTCTCTTCTTCCCCTCTGTGGGACCCACTCCCACACTTGCCTGTGCCCCTCCCCACCCCGGGCTACACTGCATTATGCAGACCCGCGTCCAACCACCCATATCCCAGACTTCCTAGTGCCCACCCACAACCTGACAACTCTAAGTTTGTGCCTGGTGAAGGGGGGGAAACTTGACTGTCCACCAAACATGACTGTCCAGAGGACAAAAACATAGGCCCATGGGATTGTGGGATACTTTTGGAGTATTCAGAGCATGAATCCCATTGGGCTGCATCTACATTGCAGAGCAATAGGGCTAGAATCCCGGGTCCCAGCTTGATGCAGACTCAACTTTCCACCCTAGCGAGGTCCTGGGACCCTGGGTCTGAGCCCTGGGTTAGAGCAATTTGGGATAGATAGAAGAGGGAGTTAGACTTGAGCCTCATTTCAAACCCTGGACATACACTGCAGTGTCATACCCTATACTGCAATGTAAGCCCAGACTCAGACTTGACCTAAAACTCCTTCTGTCTACACGCAAATCTCTTGCACTTGGATCTAGGGTCACAGGATCCTGTGGGGGCTGAGGGTCCGAGCTTGCATCAAACTGGGACCCAGAGTTTCAGCCCTCTTGCTCTTCAGTGTAGATGCTGCCCCACTGAACTCATGCTCTGGGAGTCCCCCAAAAGTATCCCACAGTCCCATGGACCAATTTCCTTTGGCAATTCTTGGGATAGAGAGGACAATCGACTCTAGGGAAATGGAAACAGCCCCCCTTGGTGTAGTGCAGCAGTTTGGTGAGTCGGCATTTAACCCTTCTGACTGCCAAGGTGCAAATACCTCAGAGACATCTGTGTTTGCAATGGAGACAGAACAGAAGTCTTTTGGAAAGTGCACTGCTTCCTGTTTGTGGGAGCACAGCCAGATTTTGGTAAATCTCTGGTACAAGGCCCTCAAAACAGTGGACTTTAGTAAGAGCACCAAGAATGATCATGCATACCAGCAAATAGCGAAGAAGCTGGCAGCACTGAAAATTTACTGGAATGGTGTGACCAGTGCAAGGAGCAGATTAAGCAGCTGAAGATTGTGTACAGGAAAACAAGACCCACACCTCAGGCAACTTGCTGACAGCATGTCCATTTTAGGAGTTTGACTGGGATCTGACTGCATAGAGCCAATGCTGGTGCATGCTAGCCTGCCCATGTGGGTTGGTACTCTGCTGGCCCCTGAATCCAGCATGGGGACCAATGAGAGCCAGCAGCAGGTGCAGAGTGAGGCCAGCAAAATGACTCTGTTGTTGAAACTAGATCCAGAGGAGCCTTTGATACAGATGCAGCAGCGGCACCTGGTGGGGCTGTACTCAGAGGAGCTGTTTGATGCCCCCCAAAGGACCCAAAGCCAAAGTTATTAGAAGCCCGAGCTAGCAGGGTATCTCTGCTAGTGGCAGATTGTATATCAGTGCCTTGGCTTCCCTCCTGTTACTCCGTGGAGTTCAAAATGGTGACCAGGAAATGCAAACAGTAAACACACCTCGAAAGTGAATTTTTACTGGGAAGGCACAGACTTTTGCTAGGGCATTCCTGTTTCTTAAAAACAGTAACCTTACATTGCCATGTCTGTACCTACGCCGCTCTGTAACCACTCAGCAGTTGACGAACCACATGGAAACAGTGAACTGGGGGAGGGGGCAGTGTGTTCCATTTACAAATCGAGTCCGTTTTAGTTAAATGGAGTCCATAGGTGACAAAATCATTTGATATCCCTTTGTGGATATCTGCAAACTTGTCCTGAAGCAGGAACTCCAGATAGTTCGTCACATTTCAGGGAAGGACTTATTTTCCAGGCCCTCCTTAGTAGCTGACCGATCCACTCTGCCCATAGATGTGCTGTCGCTTTATGTTTGAATACTTCGATTGCACACACTGCAGGTTTCCCACCAACAGCTTGGAATAACATCGCCCTTTGCCAACTGGGCCCCACAAGAACTGTTAAGTCCTCCAAAATGTGGAAGGCCTAAAATGATAGAAAAAGCTTTTGTGACATGGCCACTGACTCCACCCCCCCCCCCCAACCCCAAGTAGTTCTGCAATTTTTAGGGGGAAAGAAAACAGCTTTGAATTTTTAAACTTACCATTGTCTCTGCACTTATTTCGCTGTGACTAATCAGTCCATGTCCAGGGAGCTTCTGTTGTCTGAAGCATCCCACTCAGAATCTGCTAAAGTTCAGTCTTGAAAAGTAACATCTCTGCACTTATTTCGCTGTGACTAATCAGGCCATGTCCAAGGAGCTTCTTTGGTTTAAAGCATCCCTCTC